GTCACTTTTCATCGACCCCTTTTTTTCGTTTTTTTTTTTTGGGGTCAATGAAAAGTGACGTCACAAGTGGCAGTGGGGACAATGCAGAGTCACGGGACAAGGTGAGCCAGCTCACCAAGGTAAGCCAGCTCACTAGTAGAAATATCCAGGTGAGCCAGGCTCACTGCCGACAAATATCCAGACAGGTGAGCTGAGCAAGCAAGCGAAGAACAAAAAATGAGCTGAGCTGACTCAGCTCAGCCGAAACAAATAGTGAGCTGAGCTGAGCCGGTGAGCTGAAAAAAAAAGGTGAGCTGAGCAAGCGGCTGAGCAAGCCAGGTCTATGGTTATTATGCATGCTAATTTATTTAATGCTATGCAAAGTATGCAAACATTCATGTGTTTGATTTAAAGGATAACGTCTTCCCTTGTTCAACATTTTTATTATTGTAAACAACCAAAAATTTTGTTTACACAAAAAATTTAGAATTATAATACTTCAGACGCTTCTCATGACTTTCATGAACCACCTCGACCTATGAAAATATTTTAAGAGGTTGCTGATGTTTCACTAGGGCATATGTTGGGTAATCTATTTGTTGTTTATTCAGAGACAAGAAATTTGAATGAAAACTCATCACAAAAGCTTCAACTCGAAATATTCTATGAAACCTTATCTAAACGTTCACATTATTATATAAATAAATTTCATAATAAGTCAATTAAGCAAAACATTTTGTAAATTTTGTAAGGTTTAAACCATGGCACGTTGTTATGGAAGCTGAAAGAATCTTTCTCTGCTCATGTCATCACATGTTCTTTGTTCAAAAAACATTCAAGGAAAATAAATAAAGAATGTTTTTCCATTATTTTCTATAAATACCTGACAATCATTTCCTATGGTAGAAGATTCATTTGAGAAATTATTTACTTTTGTCTCTTTAAGGTTCTTAACATGATCATGAATGAATATCCCTTGTGTTTCCAATTCTGTTGGGAATTGTAGCACATCTAAAAATAAACTAAGGTTGATTGATAACATATTCTGAATGCGGTTGATGACAAATTTTTCTGTGGCTTTCTAAAACCGAAATTCGCTGTATGTATGTGAAGAAGATAATTGAAGGATTTGGACATAAATCTAACATGCTTCGAGAATTCATAACAATGAGCTTAGAGAAAGTTTCTTCATATTTCCAGTTAGTTTAATAGATGAAATGAAAAACAAACTCGATTCATGTAAACAACTCGTGTTGTGGAAGAAAGAAATTGTGTACATGTTTACTAGTCTCACATTTCAGGATTCATAGAAATGTTTCGAATATTTTAAAATATTTGATTTCATTCCACTTAAGATATTGAAATATTTTAGATTATCAAATTTAGTTTTGTTTGTGGAATAAATTTTAAATTATTGAAATTCCCTGTCAAGATTCAGTGNAGAGGTTGCTGATGTTTCACTAGGGCATATGTTGGGTAATCTATTTGTTGTTCATTCAGAGACAAGAAGTTTGAATGAAAACTCATCACAAAAGCTTCAAGGAATCGAATTAAATATTAATTATTGAGTATCAGTTAAGTATTCAAGTAGTTTTAATGGAACTCGAAATATTCTATG